GTAACTGCCAATTGAGCGATCGTAACTGTCTCAATTGTGCACCACAAATCTGTCATTAAATTTCAAGACATACTCATCGTTCTCCTCACTAATTAACGCTGTTCATTATCCATAATGCCGAGGTAAGTGTTACATGCGTTTATGTTTATTTTCAAAAATTCTTCAAACAACAGTTGATCGTCGAATCCACATATACGAAAGTGTTGTTTGAATGTTATTGAATAGAATTTTGGCACTGAGATTGATCTGAGTGAAGATGTCAGCAAGGAAGATGTAAAACTAATTTATTGAATTAATTGCTAATCAAATCTAACTTCTAATTTATCGAACATCAAATTTTTGGCCTATAAAGCCACAATACAGTGAAACTACTCCCAAGTGCTAATACTGAAGGTTCACTCAATTCAGCGCATTGATTTAAGATAGCATTAGATCCATCGAAAAGTTTTGGCATAGCGATTAGTGTGAACGCTGAGCAAACCAAAAGCACTATTCTGAAAGCTCTGATTCATATACCAGAAACTTTACTGTTGTCTGAAATGACTCAGTGAGAACGAATTGCTGCGCTTTTATGATGCCCCAATTATTGCTTACTAACTGTCTGTAATAAGCGGCTAAACCACCTTGTTTAAAGCAGTCAAAATACTGAGAGTATAGATCGAGAAATTGAGCGAATGTTCATAATTTTACGGTTATATTGCAGTGAAGTTTGCGAGATACTGCCAGTTCCAATCGTTACAAAAGAAATTGCAGAGGATCTCAACTTTCCAAAGGTTATACCATTATACCACCGAAAGTCATCGATAAGATGCTAGAAACAATCTGAATTTTACTAAATTCTACTGAACGAGCGATTCTAAATAAACTTAATACAGCCTTGTAAGAGAGTCATTATTTTGAGGGTACGTCTTTCAGGAAATATTTTATACTTTGCCGCAGATGATATTGAAGTGCAGAAGAATGATGGATTTTCGTTCCAAATATTTGAACTTGTTGGTCACTCACGTGAAATACTTTTCAGGTCGAGCTTCACCTACATTTAGATGGCGCCGCACGTCATGAAACTCTATTGGACCTTTCTCTGTGAGTTTCCATTACGTAATCTAGCATGATGTCATCGACCTTCATTCAAACTGACGATAAAGTCAATAAAGTGCATAATTATCAAACGCTTGTCTTTAATCATCCAAATGTAGTAACAGAACGCTCATAAATTTGTGGAATACACAATCTGTTTACGTGTCTCCTCTATTGATGATTTCTTTCGAATAAGATTAATGCTAACTTTGATATGTACTCAAGACGTGAAATGTATTGTAGAGAGAAGGGAATCAGCCTTAAAGGTGCAAAAACGGTTGAAGAAGTGCGTCGAGTTGTGACCGTGCACAAACCATCGAACCTGGCTGATATGCTCACCCCATTCGATATATTTCTGCCTGTTATGGTGTATGTTTTCTCGAACTTCTAATCTGTTCAATAAGCAAACAACGATATGGTAGCATTATTGAATCACCAGCACAAATCATCATCTTACCATGTTACAATTCAGTGGTGATAAAGACGCAATCGAGCGAGTGGCCTATGAGTTATGTGAAGACCAATCAAAAGTGGGGGTGATCTATTTCGAGGCGCGTTACTCACCACATCTTCTGTCGAATACTGTCGATAATCTGACGGCGAAATCACCTGCGGGTGCATTCAAAGGCAAGGGACCTGTAAGTGATTTATGCCAAAAACTGCAACTTATCGGGTGATTCGTTCAAAATCGTTTCTTAATGAAACCTTCATTCTTCGGTTCTTTCAGTTAGAACCTCGTGGTGTCATTGAGGCAGTGAAGCGTGGATTTGACCGAGGTGAGACGGCATTCGGCGTTAAGGCACGCTCAATTCTGTGTTGCATATGCGGATATCCTGACTGGAACAACGAAGTGCTAGAATTGGGTGAGTCTTTTGCACTTGGCAAGTGCATGCGCTTTCATCTGTGCGCTATGGCATCACACATGCACACATCAACAAGTGTATCATAGAAATGTATTGAGAAATGCATGATAATAGACCGTTCGTTCCACTTTTGAATGATCATCATTTGAAGTGGTGCTTCGCCACCATCAATTCTAACAACTTGAGAACATTCTGAAAATTCGTTCGATTACTCTATAATCGACAATTTATTCAGCAAAATCCTCTTCACTACTTGGTGTCGTTGGCATCGATGTGGCTGGATGTTCGCAAGGTGCAGACGAACAGTACGAGCCGAATATTTTGGGCGTTTTTCAGGTTAGAGCAATGCACACCAAACTGCTATGTCTAATTCAATGCGGTTTTTTGCAAGTTTCCTCGAGTTTTTGGAATCATAAAGCTGCTTTTAACAAACCTCTATGTAGTTTTTTTTTTCAGTCCAATGTTTCGCTCTCAAATCCTACGATCAGTTTATTTAGTTTCCATTAACGAACACTGTTTCGAATGCCTGTCGAACCTTTTCAGACTTGGACTGATTGTTTTGCTGTTTTATTGCTCGCGTGTGTGTTCATAATGCATTTGTAGTGATTTTAGACGGCAGCAAAACTCGGGATTCATAGGACAATGCATGCTGGTGAGAGTGGAGGAGTTAAAGAAGTTGTAAAGGTGATGAAGCCTTTTATGAAACTCATTAATTACTTACGATAATGATCGAATACATTCTTATTCCATTAATCAGCGTTACTGCAGTAATGTAATCTTGATTCGAAGAGTGAACGAACATCCCTGCTATTATTCCTAGAGGATGGGATATTTGTTGGGATTTGAATGAAAATGTTAAATGATAGGCAATTGATGAAATGAAAGCCGAACGAATAGGACACGGTTATCGCTTGGTGTTGGATGAAGGTGAGTATCGAAAGTACGCGATCGAGAAACGAATCCACCTCGAGACGTGCCCATATTCATCCGTCATGACCGGATCTGTCAAACTCGACTGGAAAAATCATCCTATCGCTAGGTATTCTTGTTTTGTTGCACCTTTACATCAATTCTTATCTCTCTCATTACCAGCGAGAATTTCGGTGTATTTTTTGAAGCAATAACTTGAAAAATCACCTAATAATATCAGAACTGTTGGCAGCGTTATGAGAATTTTTCAGTGAATCGTTTAAAAGTGAGAAATTATTCAGATTCGCAGCGGACGATATCAACTTTTCGATAAATACCGATGACACGACATGTTTTGAGAACACATTACTCACCGAATATGAACTCGCCCGTAAAGAGATTGGACTGACCAAAAGGCAACTCTGGAAATGCGTAAGCACTTTTAGGCAGTGCCATTCACTCAATGATAGCTCTACAGACATTATCTATGCGCACTTATAGTTACTGAAAGAAGCGATTATTCGCTTTTTCATTCGCCATAAAAACAAAATCAACAGCTGCAATTGATCAACGATGAGTCGTCAAAAATCCACTTCGAGCACTACTCGATGTCAAAATTTCCGATAGACTGCACATTTCAGTGAGCACA